ATATATATATATTAATCAATGGAAACACCAGGTTGTAAGAGTGTCCTGTAGTTCAGTTCTGAAAACCGAACAGCAACACTATCTGCGCTTATCATTTGATTTCAGCACCAACCACACTTTTTCTGAAAAGCTGATGCAGAGAACTATTTTATATTGTGTGTCACAAAGTCTCCAAACAACTTTCCTCAGATTTTGAATAGCAATACTAAAAGTCCAAGTCTGATCTTATATTTAACCCATTGATAGAGGGAAATCAATCGACGAATTCGTTCATTTGCCCAGTGTATTTGAGAATATAGCGAACACCACTGGAATTCGAGCGGATATCCAATTTAATATTCTTCTATGCATTACACTTCCCCAACAATATATATATATATATATATATATATATATATATATATATATATATATATATATTCGAAATTAAAATAACTGATCCAACGTGCAATGATCAATAAGTGTGACATTCCTGTAATTATTGAACAATATAGTTCATGCCACATTGACGGAAAACCTACCAGTAAAAAAGAATTCTCTCATAACTATATTTGTACAAAAACGCACAACCTTAAAATTTAAAATTCAAACTCTGCGTTGCGACCGCACGTTCCAAAACAATGACACATTTCTCATAGCATTTTTTCGGATTACATCTCTATTTTCGTTATCCTCTTATTACCGAGAAGTAAAAAACAAGAACAAATCTATTTCCATACCTGAGGATGTCTGTAGGAACAGACGAAAGCTTGTAAAAACTAAAAAAGACCTTATGAAACTGGAATTTATAAACAGGGATCATATCATTCGTATACAGGTTCGGGGTTAGTGCATCTTATTGAAATTGTTTGCGAAGATGTATTCTCGCCATTTAAATCATTAACCTCTATATATGTTTTATGCATGAATGATCCATGTAATTATATATATATATATATATATATGTATATATATAAAAGTGAACATTGAAGCCAACACTCAGAGGCGACAGGCTGTTTCATGCTGGACGCAATATAGCACACCTTAAAACTATATATATATATATATATATATATATATATATATATATATATATATATATATATATTAGATTTGTACTAAATTTAGAGTTGAGCTGGCTAAATATAACTAAATTTTATGCTTAGTTTCTTTTCTCGTATTTCTCGCTTGTAGAATTCTCCCCATTCCGGTTTCATGGTTTCCAGTCAACTTTCATCTGAAAAAAAAAATAAAATGCAATGTCATTCTCTATCTAATATTCTCCTAATTACTCTTTCCTCTCAAGGATCATTATTAATGTTTCTGTTCCTAATTCTTCCACACCCAGTAAGCCCTTGTGTCTTAGTGGCTTCACTGCCTTGCATGAGGTAATACTGATTAAAAAATGTATGTATGTGAGACAATTACTGTATTTATGTTGAAATATTGCTCCATATCAGGATAAAGAGTTCACACACACACACACACACACACACACACACACACATATATATATATATATATATATATATATATATATATATATATATATATATATATATATATATAACATAAAACTCAACTCAACACAGCCTTATATCAGTTTCGCACATTACGCAGCTATCAAAACATACTTGATCATATAAATTGATTATCACTATTCTGTGCGGATTTTATGTCTACAGTTTCTATCTATCTATCTATCTATCTATCTATCTATCTATCTATCTATCTATCTGTGTGTAGGTTTATGTTCTGCCACTTCCCACACTGGCTAAAATCTTTCTGCATGTTTTGATTGAAATTCCGTTCAGCCGACATTAAAATCACCTTCTGAGTCGGACATGAAAACCGTTTGCCTCGACTAGGATAGCTAGAAAGAAGAGAGCAAAAGAAATAGGAGGAAAAAAAATACGTAGCAGAGGATGAATTCGAATCCGTGGGTCGCTATTGACACGATCGCTGCAGCTGACAATAGAAACCTGTGCCATTATTTTCTCTACTTTTGTCTGGGGCTACACAATATTGCCGAGGGACTCCAGTGCACGGGAACATCAACACTGGCGACGTCATCTCCATTCCATCAGAAGCTGGTCTAGTTTCTTACGAATGCCTGCAGCAATGTCTTATATATATATATATATATATATATATATATATATATATATATATATATATATATATATATATATAAGCAAGTGTAAATGGATATAAATCCGACAGAATGAAGAAATTTTGAAAAAACAAACAAAAATCCTTAAATGTAGTTAAAATGAAAGAAAAAAAAAAAAAAAATTTTTTTTTCTTTCATTTTTTTTTCATTTTAACTACATTTAAGGATTTTTGTTTGTTTTTTTCAAAATTTCTTCATATATATATATATATATATATATATATATATATATATATATATGCATATATATATTAGGGTCAATATATATATATAACCAAAAGGATACAATTCAGGTAGAGCTCAATGTACAAAGCAGAGGAAGAATATAATATAAAATGCTCAAACAGTAATATTCCATGGTTATAAATTACTAGCAGCATGGTCCGACGTTGCCCGGGCTTGATTCAAAAATCGTACGACTCATACAGCAATCGCTATCACTTCAATTAAAATATTTTTGCCATTCCTTGCCTTTAAAGGAGTGCCCTTTGCCGTGCTGATGTTACTTACTTCTTGCCTATCTCACACTGCAAATTTTTTCTAAGCTCTGTACTAAACATTAAATCTGTTACGAAAAAAGATCTAAACAAAATGAACACAAAATGATCAGCTTTAAAAAAGGACTCGTAACTGGAAAAACCGAATGAAAAAAGAATGATAACAACAAATACTTTTTCACATCCAACCCAGTTCTACGGAATCAGAATCAACGTTGAGTTTAAGCAAGCGAATGAGCCAATTGGAGTAAAGCGACATGCAGATTTAAATTTTTCCCACTTCGTGTCAGTCAGCTGTTGGCTCTCACGCTGGCCAATAGAATCTTCCTGCCTATTCGTGGCAGCCAGCTATAGACTCTCACTCTGGCCAGTAGAAAATGGCCGCAAATTACATGACAAGTGCCGTAGAAGCATGAAAAAATCGATTATGTCCACTATCGATGGGAGTTGGGAAATGCAAAGTCGGACTTGGCCTTCCCTCTAACTTGAAGCATGTGCATGTAAATTTTGGTGCAAATCCTTCGAAAATTGCGGCCGTGCATTCGTTAAACACACACACACATTCTGCCTTTTATAAATAGAAATTTCATTGGAATCGTAATCACGATCCAATTCATCAGACCTACAAATTCCAAAAAATTTTGAAGTTGTGGGTCTCATGAATTGATAGTGATTACGACTCAATGTAATAAATTATAACCATGGAATATTAGTGTTTGCGCCTTTATATATATATATATATATATATATATATATATATATATATATATATATATATATATATCAGATAACGATATACATTTTTATATATCAAGAACAGTATTGGGGAAATTGTAAGACAAAATAGAAAACGTTTACTTGTGAAGCGTTTCATCCGTTAGAACCTCACCGGACTGGTTCTATTGACGTTGTAACAACGCATGCGCATGAACTAGAGATGTTGGTAATTTAAAAATTATTGAAAGAATTTTTGGAAATACTTTTTTTGCAATCTAACCAAAATCATCTATAATCTTTTTTCAAGAATTAGGAAAGGTTATAAAAATCTGGACGGAAAATTACTGTCCGAACTAGCGATTAAAAATAATTCACTAAGACAAAAATGTCTCGAAAATATCTTAATCGCTAGTTCAGTGAGAGAGAGAGAGAGAGAGAGAGAGCGATAAGGGAGGGAGGTGAACCGACTAGGTCACACACACACACACACACATACATACACACACACACACACACACACACACACACATATATATATATATATATATATAGTATAAAATGACAATTGGAAAAAATCTTAGATTTTGCCGACGTGTTTCGTCTTCCAACTTTTTCAAATGGAAATGTATTTGTTGTTATAGTTACATTAAAAAATCCAAATTTAAAAAAGATAGACGCTTCTGTCTAAAACTTTTTTTCTGGCTAATGTATTTTTTTAAAAAAAAAATTAATTGTTTTTTTTTTTTTCAAATTGTCATTTTATTCGTCTTGTCCACAGAATTGATCTGGAAATTTAACTATCAGACATTCTAATGGAGGGAAGGGAAGGATCTCTGTGGTGATTAATAGAGAGCAGTTTTGTCTTAGAAGCGTTGAAGTTGACCAGCCAATTCATTCCCCAGTTCACAATATATATATACATATAAGTTGCACCTACGCGGATCGTCAGCCAGTCCGCCCTGAAGATCCGCGTAGGTGAAACCTAGGTAGGTTAGTATGGCTCTTTAGGTTTACTTATTTTGCTCTACTTAGCGTATTGAGCACCTTGTTTAATTATTTTACTTTACACGTGTCGGAGGTTTTTTCTTTGGACTCTGAACCTAGATTCTAGACGATTATTTTCGCCGATGTACATGTTCTTAGTTCTTTCTTTCACCCCTCCAATTTTTTTCCCACTTGGGTATTACTTTGTTCATTCAGAAGCTAAAACACCTAAGGTTTTGCCGGACGAGTATAGCTGATTATATTTATAAGTTTATTATTGTCACACACACACACACACACACACACACACACACACACACACACACACACACACACACAAATATATATATATATATATATATATATATATATATATAAACGGACTGGGATAAATAAATAGATATTGATTGATTGATTCGTTTTCTACGGCTTATCAACCTTTTGCAGGTTATTTAAAGCCAGAAAATATTTTTAGATTGTAAGATTTTTTCAGATAATAACTTTTTAGTCGCGCAAGTCTTACTAATTAACCCATAGGAGGAGGCGAGTTTGATTCATACCTTTCTCAAAAGTATTTGCGCGTAAGAGTATATAATGAACCCAACAGGGAATGGAACTCAGTTCTCCATTACACCATCTACACATGTAAGCTTACAGCACCTGGTATTCCTAAGCGGTCACCCATCTAGGTTCTGGTCAGGCTTGACATTGCTTAACTTTGGTTGTTGCACGGGAACTGGTGTTTCAGCGTGATGTCGCCGTAAAGCTAGATAGATAGATTGACAGGTAGATAATGGTGTGCATGTATGGTGTGCGTTTGTATATGTATATGTGTATACGTATGTATGTGTAGGCGTGTATAAATATAATAACGTGTTCATATTTGTCTGTTTATCGATGTGTGTGATTACGTGGGTCTACGTATGCATGTATATTTATTCTCATTTATTCTCATAAACGTCTGTGTACACAAATCCAAGACGATGGTTTCTTACATTTACGTATGCATTTAACACATTCATTTACTTTTTCATATTCCCATATACACCGATGTGCACTTATGCACGCCATGTTCACACACACTAACACTAGACTAGTGTAATGTGAGAGACTTGGGTTGGCGTTGTCTGAAACGCGGCAGCAGTGACAGTCTTCATTGATGGACAGGAATTCTCTCCAAGTTGCAGCCATTGTTGTAAAGTAGGAAAAAGGCCTGCACAATAGGGATGGGGGCTTTGTGTTCTGACTAACGGACAACTGGACAATACTTGGCGCTTAATGACAGAGGAATGGGAGGGAAGACACAGCGTTGGGGTAGATCTTTGCAAGAGAGTCGAGACGTGTGAGAATGGGAGATAAAGGACGTTAGGGGGCGCCTGTGAAAGGCGCTTTCATGCGCATGCGCCGGCCCTTTGCACTGAACGCATATTGACATGAAGGCAAGAGAATGTTTGTAAAGCCAGCAATACTTTTCTAGTGAATAAAAAGAAAAACAAAAAACAAAACAAAACAAAACACAAATAGATTAACACACACACATACACACGACGGAACCCGTATTCGCACATGCGCTACCTTATATAAATATAAAATTATATATGTAGGTTAAAACTGCAGTATCAAGGTTAATTGAAAAGGGTTTCCTGATTTTAATAAAAAAAGAGTCAATGTTTTCCATAATATATAATTGTTGCATAGGAGTAAAGTGTTGCTGCCGACACTGTAGTTTGAACACAGATCGCCAGTGAGCAGACACGGGCGATTCCATTAGTGAATTAATTAGATCACGTGACAATAGAGGAAACGCATAAATAGGAAGTAGCGTGACGTCTAAGCGATCACTATTTCTATACTATTCTCTATTACTATACGGATCACGATCGCTATTCTCTATAATATCCACTATACTATTTCTCTACATTGATCATTATACGAATTACTATTCGGCGATTACTATTTGAACAAGTGATATTAGTGCGAGTATTACTTGAAGGCGTTACTACTACTACTACTACTACTACTACTACTACTACTACCAGTATCTGCATTTGGAAAGTCTCGTCTACAACGAGCATTTCGGACGTGATCACGAGCATTCGTTGTCCTAAAGAGAGTTACAACGAGTGTGCATCTAACATCACAAAAATAATGAACATATATTTTAATATAATATTTTAATACATTATTTTAATATCACAAGCCGTTATAAGAAGCATTAGCCATTAATAAAGAATTTGGTTTTAATATAATATTTTAATTTGTTGTTTTAACATAATATCTTCCATAATATAATTTACGAGCTTAAAGTTATTAAGCTAATTTACAATATATGAATATAAAATTACATATTAACTGAAAACTAATTTGCAAACATTTTTATTAATACATTTATTTATAACTATTATATTTTTAATTATAAATTATCTTCTCTTTCTTTCCTCATTCTTTCTTTTTTCTCACTGAAACCAAGTAGCGTCAATGATCTGTCATTTTCGTCTTTTCACGCGAACAAAACGAAATATTCCGTTATTTATGCTATATTGGCAGGGCGTAACGGTCGTACAAACTAAATAAGGAACTAACTAACGAAAGAAAGGAAAATCAGAATTTATATATGATGTTATATTTATATATGAGGGATTTCTTTGAAAAAGATCAGTGAGTTTGCTCTGTGGATCGTCATTGCTACAGTGTAGCTTAAACATTATTCTCTGCTTGTCATTAGAAAGCATTTTGAACGTTTTAGTTTTAATAAACTTAATCTAAAATTTCGCTTTTAACTATATTGCAATATAATATACATTGTATTGTAATATAATATAATTTATATTATTGTATTGTAATATATGTCACATCAACCTATTTTAGTTAAACGTTCAGAGTATTTTTGTATATTTATTCTCATGTGAATCCGAAAAGAAAAGAAGGAATATTTTGGGCATATTACACCTTTTTTTTTATTTTAAGGGTGGAAAAAATGCGACACAAATGCAAACAGGTTTGTGTTTTTCGGGGGAAAGTCTTGTGAATAACAAAACTTTTAAAAAGTGGTTTGCAAAGTTTTGTACTTGAGATATTTATGTTGAACGACACTGAAACAGTCGAGTAAACTAGTCGAGAGCCAACAAATGAAAAAAAAAAAAAACATTTGAAACCAACTGAAGCTATTCAACACGAGGGATAGATTGATAGGTTAAAATACTGAGAATATTCAAATCAAGCGTTGATGATGAAAAAATAAATAAAACATTTAAACACGCAGACCATGTTGGTTAAATTTAAATATAACTTGTTTCACACACATACACACAAAAAGAAAACACTAACACACTATTTAACATTTTCTATATTTATAAAGGATGACTACTCAATATCAGCGATATATTGTTCCTAGGTACAGTGTAGACATATGTATCAACAATGCATGGTGACTGCCAGGTCTACGCCTTAATACGATTTTCAGACCAGGTACCACATTTACTTCCCACTTTTGTGTTCATATCTAATCCCTTGGATTAATTAGATTAATATTAATTATATCTAATCCTTTGGATTAGTTATATTCATAAGTTTTAGTTTCCTTGTTTTTTATTTGTTTGTATATTCTTCTTTCGTATATTTTTCTTTGCATTGAAGTTTTAGTATCTAGAATAAAGTATATGATATTTAAAGTCACGTGACCTTTTATTTCGTCCTTTTTTGTCATGGTGTGATTTTCGATAGTATAGTAGGAATTTCTTTCGTGTCTGCGTTTGTAAATAATCTTTATTTTTTATTTTTTGCTTGTGAGTTTATTTTGCTCTAGAAAATTTATGTCTGTTTTCAGTCAAAGTTTACATTGTATTGTGTTAGTTGTTGTTTTGTAAACGCTTTTGTAGATGATAATGACATTCTTTTGTTGTTTCTTTACAGTCTTTCTTTCTCTTTATGACACTTGTTCGTCTTTCTATTTGCACTAATTCGTCATCTAGCATTATTGCTGTTATTTTTTGTTTGTGATCGTTAGTAGCGGTTTCTTGAACTCACTGATTGTGACTGATTTCTTGATTTCTTTCACGATACCCCTTGTACTGATATTTTTAGTCATCCTGTAGAGAAATGTGCAACAGTCTCTTCCTGGGTGGAAGCTTTCGTTTCGGGACGGAAATACTAAGTCAAACCAAAATCTTCCGCGTGTCTGTTCAGCCGCTATAGGCCGCAGTAATCACTTCTTCCGGCTATACCAGAGCGACAGATGCTATTGTAACAAACGTGTCTTTGTCAGCGCTCGTAATAAACATAAGTATGTCCCCAAAGTGGCAAAGTCACTATTTGCTAATAGAACGAGATAGCCTCACACAAGTTTTGTTTTAGGGATTACTGGTGGCTCTGGAAGAGTCAACTAAACAAAACCAAATCTTTAGTCCCTCCTTTCTTCAATCAATTTGAAGTGCTGTCATTTATTGCAGATAAAGAAGAGTGCTTTCTCAGGAAATTCTTTTCCAACTCCATTCACGACTCATCTAGAGTATCTGTGCCTCATTTTCCTCCTGGAACAGAGTCTCTATTGAGTGATATGCACATAACTCCGCCCATGCATTCTGCTATCATTTCGAAACTAGATCACAAGACTTGGGGTATTCGATGGTATCCCTGCAATTTTCCTAAAGAAATGTTTCGGAACTGGCTCTTGATCTCTCGAATGTCTCACTACTTCTTACTTTCCAACTTGTTGGAAGTCCTCCTCTATAGTTCATGCCTTTAAGAACTCTGGAGGAAATATCTGACCCCTCTAATTATCGTGTTATTAATCTTTTAACTTTTTTGACAAAGTATTAAATGTTCTAATCAACACTGAATTGGTTAAGCATTTTACTCCACACGACCTCCTTTCGGGTAAACAATATGGCTTCCGTTTCTCCAGATCTACCGCCAATGTGCTAACATTCATCACCGAATTTGTCTGTGAAGTTCGTGTTATAGTCCTAGATATCTCAAAGGCATACAAAGTTTAGAATGCTGACATTCTCCACAAGCTCAGGGGCTATAGTGTCTCTTAACGAATATTTGGCCTAATCCAATCGTTCCTAAGAAATTGTATAATGAAAATTGTTTTGAATGGAAACGATTCTAGTTAATTTCACATTAATTTAGGGGTCCTAAGTACCCTATCCTCGGACCTGATTGATTTCCCCGATGCCATCAGTTCACAACCAGTTATCTATACAGATTACACAACTATTTACTCCTATCTTGGTTGCATATCCGAGAGATCTGACATAGTGTTGTGGATTCCGAGATGAAATTCGGTTTCCAATGAATGACAAACGCAGCAATGAAATATAACAAATAAATGTATTTACACAATAATACAATTGGTAATACGGTTAGTAAATCCAGAAACGTGGTTAGTAGCAATAAGAATATATATATATATATATATATATATATATATAGTTTGGTAGTCACGAAGTAGGATTTCCTTCGTGTCTACGTGCTCGTAACTGTTACTTCTACAAGCGGTTACCTCACACTATTACTCTACCTCCAACTCAATCACAATCTCTGCTCACTCTACTCTGACTGACTCTGGGTATTTAACGGCAGCAGTCCAAGTACACACTGGTCGAGTCCACTTGTATGAAAAAGGGTTGACCCCATAACACATAGCAAAAGAGGCAACTGCTCTCGAAACGGACCCCCAATCAGTGCTTAAGTAGGTCAAGGAATGGCTTGTAAATTTCAACGTCTCCAAAATAAAACTGCTTTTATTTAATCCCCACG